CTTTTCGGTGGCGCTTGTCTTAGTTGCGGCATGGATTGCACCTTTAATGTAGAAGCAGCCGGCGCGTACGGACGGGTCAGGAGAGTTGCAAATTTGGCTTACCTGTTGTCCTGCAAACCCGCGCACTTAAAATCCACCAGGCCAAGAAGCTCCGATAGTGCGCGGATTATCCTGATAAAAGCGGAACACACACCGATCTCTCTGATTCAGCAATGGCGATTGTTTTCTTTTCGGTGGCGCTTGTCTTAGTTGCGGCATGGATTGCACCTTTAATGTAGAAGCAGCCGGCGCGTACGGACGGGTCAGGAGAGTTGCAAATTTGGCTTACCTGTTGTCCTGCAAACCCGCGCACTTAAAATGCCACCAGGCCTTGCAAGTGTGGCACTGCATACCGTCTTTTACGCTCAACGGACAGCCATTAAGCCCGCATCTGTTGTGGCCTATGGACGGCTGGAGAGTTCAGTCTGTATCCATAGATGTCATGGTTAGGAGTGGGGTAAAAATAAGAACTGAGTGCAAAACAACGGATTTTATCACGTATATGTCAAGCTAGAGTGAGAAAATTCAACAAATTATACGTGTATACTCTATAAATAGATTAAACAGTGAATTGCTTCACAAATTTGCACGAAGGAAAAAGGAAACTAACTTCGAGCCCAGCTAACTCCCACTTTCAAATGTCCAGCGCTTAGCAACAAACTTGCCAGTGCAGGCAATAACATAGGGCAACCTCGAACCGGGTTACGGATGAGCTGGAATGACATTCGAGGGAAGGCTGTTCCTATTATAGAATGCCGAAACGAGTAGAAATGTTGCCTGATGGAAGTACATGTGCTGGGGTTGAAAATTCACCTACCCGTATTCCGTATGTATTAACTGTTATTCTGACTGCAGTTCTGTGTAAGTGCTAGACCCTAAGAAACCGTTCTAATCTTAACTTGGAAACGGTCTAAAACTATGCCATTTATGGTGTGAAACGCTCATGATGTTGGTTCCGTAGGCAAAATTATCACATAGCGAAAGGCTAGAGAGAACGGGTCCGATTGTTTTGTGAACAGCGACGCTAGCTCGCGAAGGTGCCATTGCAGGGTATTTGTAACCAGCATCATCTCTGAAAACGAGGGAAAATGAAAAACAAAACGATAACGGACGAGCAGCATCCTATGCCCCCTGGCTTATTGGGCAAACGAAGCGCCGTTCTGGAGTGAAACAGAATGCATCACCATTAACAAGGCAACTACGAACCCGTTGGCATGGATGCCTATAAAGATCGGATCACTTGCGTTATGGGGGTAGAATATCTTCACTGACGCACAGTTCAGTGGAAATTCTTGCTAACGGTCAAAATAAATGCCAGTGAGCCTATGTCTAACACCCGTGTAAGAGGCTGTTGGGAATTCTTCAATACTCTCCATCAAAATACATCTCAAAGGCTTGTTTTGTACTGTTTTCTGAGATATCAGTTCGCCCCTCGAAAATTGAAGTAGATCAAGGAGAGTTCATTCTGTTGTCTAGTGTAGGTGATTGAGCGATTGCCCTTAGACACCTCAGTCTCCAAGAATATAACAGACACAAGTCAGAACCTTGTCGTAGAAGCCGGTGAGTGGGTCACAAATGTCCAGTCGATTCTCTCTCCCTAAAAAGGCAGATTTGGTGTCTTGGTTGAACAGGCTTTATAGAACCTTCATGCTTCACAACACCCAAACTGAGGGAACCTGGAGGTTTTCCAAGGAGTTTATTTCTTTCGATAAATGTTCTCAGTAGTCCAAGTGCGAGTAAAGGTGCCGGAGACTAGTGTGCAGTGCAAGCCCTCCTGAAGCCCAGCAGAGTTTTCTGGACTGGATTGCGCCCCAAGTTTGCGATGCTGCGCCAAAGCCTACGTCCTATTCTCAGCTGTTGCTGCGGGGTGGTATTACTCGAAGGCCGGATTCTATCCTACAGACTAGCCATTGCGATAAAGTTTCTCCAGTAAGAGGATGAAAAGAAAGCCAGAAACCGAAACCCGGCAAAGCAAAAGCTTTATTTTTTCCTCCAGAAATCGAGCAGCCGTGTTCAGGGAAACATGGGCGAGACTTGAAGTGAAAACCCTTCAAAAAGATAGCTTTGGTCAGCGATTGATTAGCTTGTTCGCTTCCAATTACTGACGACAACAGTTATCCAGTATGGTGTCCATTTCTCTTGTGATGTTTGCTGACAAAATGCAAAGTTTCGGGTGGAGCACAATTAACCATGTTGATTTTTGTGGTAACTGTTTAGAATATTTGGTTTGCTGCCCCAAATAGTATAAGCAAGTTATCGTATAGAATATATCCTTAGATGAGCTCAACTATTCATGCTATCACGTTGGGTTTTTAGTTCAAACATTTGAGTGTTCTGGCTGGACAAAATCGAAGATTTTTTCAAGAATTTGAAAAGCCGACGTTGCTTTCATAAGAGCAAGCTTTTTTCGCTTCTATGGCATTTCTAGTTGAAATGCCTTAATTTATGGAGTTCCACCCGGGTGGTTACGTCTCAAAATCGGCTTTTCAATCACACACAGTGCTACCTTATTTCCCCCTCCCAATAACTGCATGAGCAACTGTAGGTGGGCCGAAGGGCTGTCATTCATCACACGTCATCAAAAGCGGATAAAATTACTTTACACAAGGCTGGCAAGTAGCTTGCGAGTAAGAACGTCCGAAATAATAATAATAATAATAATAATAATAATAATAATAATAATAATAATAATAATAATAATAATAATAATAATAATAATAATAATAATAATAATAATAATAATAATAATAATAATAATAATAATAATAATAATAATAATAATAATAATAATAAAAAAAAACTTCAAACTACAGGAAGTGTAGGGCCGGAATAATGGATATGGAGATGCAGCAAAGCTGCCCCGACATGGCAGGCCGGTTTGAACTAAAGTCCGGAACCGTCACTAGGGCTTCATGGCCTTGGGCTATGGCGGATGGCCACGGACAGGTATGTGGGGGTGGTGTAGTGGGGTAAAAATGTATTACGGACAAACGGTAGCAGGAAACGCAGAAGTACGGTGTGCAGTGAAGCGACTCACTAGTGTTGCAGATGAAGCAGGGTCGAGTGTAAAAGTTTCTTGGGAAACGAGTTCACGCAAGCTGAGCAATAATTGACTCATTCGGTGAGGAGTACGTATAAAAGCCGTCGAGATCTTTGCATCTGGCAGAAGGTTCGGCAGATTGAAATGAACGCCTTCCGGTGGTGGCCGGGGACAAATGAAGGTTGATTGTGGTTGTCGGTATGGGAACCAGTGAGCGAGAGGGCCTGGACAAATTTAAGAGGGGAACAATTGCGGGTATCAGACGACAGTACGAAAACATTGCGGGGATTGGCCACTTCGAGTAAGGTATTTAAGATATCCCGTTGTCTTCTAAAACTGACGCCTCGGAGACAGGTAAAATACTTCAAAGTCTCCGAAGTCCACGTGAGGTGACCAGGAAACGTGTCATTGTTGGAGCGGGAGCAACCACACTAAAGCAGGGCAATCTTAAAAGGATGCGGATTGGCCAGAAAGTTTTCCTTTGGTTGTATGTTCGTTTAGGTTGGCGTGATCCATAGCCGGCCTGTGATACAGGGCCTGACTTAAATTTCTGACATGTGGGAGGAGACAAATGGCCAAATTTTCAGAAGTATCGCTAGTATGGTAGTGTGAGCGGCGAAGCCAAGCGAGTGCTTTTGCTATATTTTTGTGCAAAACACGTACAGTTTGTTAGAACGAGTGAGTATTTCGTAATACAACGACAATTTCGGTCAGTAAACCGCTGAGCTGTGCTCGATGGCTTGAGCATTGACGACTGATCACCCGAGAGTGTTGCTCATAATGACTGCGGATCCCTCTAATGCACAACGGTTACCAGAAAGCCCCATAACACATTGATTTCCCTGTCGTTCTACGATGCAAATACTGTCCCATGCCTTCTTTCTTGTAGTCCAGAAAGAGGAAATTAACACAAATGAAAGTTTATCATTTAGAAAAGTCCTAATCAGTTTCTTGACAAAAAGTTGACTTTATTTATTTCAAACGTCGTCTTGAAATTGGAAGTCGACATTAACGTTCATTCAGGCTGTAGTTGACAAAATCACTCGGTTTGGTGACACCTACATTCTCGTCCAAAAATTTCCTCCAGTTGGCCGAACTCCCTGCTTCGTGTCCCAGTAACTCAGTCCGGAGACTGGCCGACGAGTGGTCCACTCACCATCATAAAATACGTATTGTCCCGAAAGCGCAGCAGTAACATTATCTCAGATGTCCGAACTTGGCTCGAAAACCTCCCGGCTCTGCTGGCAGTCGATCATCTGAATCTACAAACGCCTAGCCGTTCAGTTGTGCAAGCGCAGTAAAACCACGAATTGTAATGGACTGTGCTTTGGTCTGAACTGTGCTGTATGGAGAAGGTTGAGTTTGTTTACATTTCAAGCTCAGCGTCGTCTCAAGGTTGTTTTATCCGGTAATTCAAAAAATTATCTGACGATGAGCCTGAGATATACCCTGGTAACGCGAATGACTTTAATTCCTCATTCATATAAAGGGCGAGCAAGTCATATTTCTGCTTGGTGCCGATGGAGCTAACCATGTTGGAACAGTGGTTCAGGAAAGTGCCAAGGGCGTCAGAATTAAAACCAATATACAGGGACAAGTACGGTGATATCATTCCTGATGAGTATCATAGGAAATGTTGCTTTTTGTCCTTTTTGACCGAATCGTCCGAGATACACCAGTGCGCAAAAGGATAGACGTGGACAACATGATACAACTTACGTATAAGTCTAAATATTCATAATTAAGCATTTTCTAGTGATCTTTCCGCGTTAAATATTCTCGAGAATCTCAAACAAAGATACTTAAATTCAAAAATTTATGTGAGATTGTTTTTTAAAATAATTTCCAAAAGACCTACATAGGAAACATTGTGTTAACCGTTAACCCGTACAAAGATTTATTAATAGATGGTCCAGAAGTGATGGTTCACTACTTCAACCGTCCGATATCTACGGTTCCTCCGTAAGTGGTTGGCGTCCTGATACATTTCTTTCTGACAGGCACCTGTATGGTTTGGCAGAGATGGTATACCAGGCAGCAGTACATGGAGATAATGATCAAGTTGTGGTCATAAGGTGAGTTCAGAAAAATCCCAAAAAACGTCTTTCGAATAATTGTTCAACATCATGGAATAAAGGCCTTGTCCATCGTGGCTGTTTGCTTTCAGTTATGAAGGCATGAGGTCATTGCGGGTGGCCGAAATGTTGCACTGATTTACAAATAGAACAACTTACGTTGTTCCTATTTTATTGAAGCTCAGGTTTCAGCTGAAAATCCATTTCTGTGATGGCGAACGTAACCGTGTTGAAGAAATGATTAAAGATTACAAAGCACTCACCTAGTCTTGAAAAAATTTAGCTGAAATATAAAAATTTTATCCTTGTGTATCTGTTATGCCTGTCATGACAAGTGAATGTTTGCGGGAGGATCTTCTGTGTCATATGAATGGAAGACCATCTGAGATCCTACAGCATACAGTTGTCAGACTATGCTACTCTTTTTGAGTCATCCGTTATCGTGAGGTTCTGAATGGTCACCACGCCAAAGTTGCATTCCGCCACAAAATCATGCAGAATTTGGAACTCCAAGTAAAAAACCTTTTTACGTTAGGCGAACGAATAGAGAAAACACCACACAATTTCTTCAGCAGCCTTGAAATTTCCTGAGATTCAACTACGTGAACATTTCTCATAGTTTGTACTTATTTAACCTAGAACAAAATGGTTTTGCACATGGCTCACAAAATTTCATACTTGGTGAAGCTGTTAAGTTAGACAGTATTCTTCCCTATAGGACTAAAGAAGGACAATAGGGCATTTAGTTAAGCTCATGTTATTCTAAGGTGTGCCGTCTTTGAGAGCGACTTCGTCAAACATATTATTTTGATTTATACCTAAAGCTGTTGTCATGACCCTCTGCAGACGAAAAAGCAAACCCTTCCAAAGCTCGACAAGGTCTGCCGAAAGTTTTATCATCCTACGGGTTTAAAACACCACTCATGTTGGTCACCACTATGCAGCGGCTAATTTCTTGCCATTTAGCCTTTATGTCACAGTAAAGGCTATCACAATATGTTAGTGGGCCTCTTCGGTTCGGGTAACAGCTTTCAAGGATTTCCGAAATATCTCGTCCTAAATTTCAGCGCTTATTGGCCGTAGAGCACTCTTACGGAACAGTTAAGACTAAATAAGAACTTCGAGACCAAAATGTTGCACACCACTGGCTCTGTGTAGAGCGAACCTTTCTAGTCACAGCATGCTGAGCGTCAAGAATAAGTCCGATCTGTTGGTTATACAAATGTATAGTAAGCACTGTCAATGAAAACACTGAGATGCCACCTTACCGGTGAGTAAAAAGCGTGGTTAATATGAGCTTTTTAGGAAACAAAGTTGTGTTTATTTCTGAAAGAAAGCAAAGCTTAGCATCTACTGCATCAACTCGTTGGTCAACTAGTCGGTGGATTGTGCAATATGGAGATCTTTGTCAAGTAATTTTCATTACTCCGAAGTACGTAACTTTGAGCATCGTCAACGCAGCAAAAAGCCAAATGTGGTTCTGAAATGGTGAAGATCAAGTGTTTGGTGAAGGAGTTAAGTGCCAACACAGTTTGGTTGGTTGTTTAAGAGAATGTAAACATGGAGAATAAAACAACATATTTTGCCGTAACTGTAAAAAATGCCCGCGTATTTTAGGGGCACAAATACTTGTATGGACATAATACACCACTTTGACAGCCCAGCACCAGTTTCGCCACTCTTGAGGCTCATCAGGTTGACGCAGTTACCAAGTTTTCGTCAATCTTATGTTCTACTTGCACCCGAATTTCATAAACTTGGTGAAGTACACTCATTTGCATACCAGTTTGCTTTTGACAAGAGTTCCATCTGAAACCTAATTGAATCTCTTATTTGTGATGTTTATGGGTTAAGGTAGAACACAAGTTTGACAGAAAATCAAGGAGTGAGCCTACATCTCAAATGTCGTGTTAACTGAAACACGAGGAGACCTAGTGCAGCACATTTAGTTACTTAATAACAAAAAACGAAATATCCAGCTGGGTTCTGGGTGGGTATCCCGTCAAAATCAAATTGGTATGCAAATGTGTGTATTTAGACAAAAATATTTATTAGACGGGTTTATATACTTATATGGAGAAGAAACATTCTAGTCAGGCGTTGTGAATAAAGCTGACGGGAATCTAGGCAATGATGCTTTGGGCTCGGAGCAGGTTGATAGTCTGTATTTTTATCTCTAAATGCTGCGTTTGTTTTGCGTTGGGCGCTGTGATTCACTGAGCCTGTGATGTTTGCTGTTTGTGCTATCTTGTGGTTCTAAAATTAAATCCGGTTGATGTTGGGTTATAAAACTTAACTGTATGCTCAGAAACACCGTGTTTTTAGTAGATCCATACTAACAAGTGTCAAAGTGGAAGTCTTATCAAGCCCATTGTAATCTAATTTCCGATCTTATCTAATTTCTAATTTTTGAACTTTCCACCGGATTGATATTCATTTCGTATGATAGCAGCAGCGAGATACATCAATTTGTGGTTTGCAATCTTAGTTATATGGAGTGTTAAGTTGTCTATTTCATGCAGAAATTTACTATCTTTGAGATCTTGATCTATGTCAGTGAGCTTCAGGTTTTATTTTAACCTCGCTAGAATTAACGCGGAATTAACGCTAGGATTGACGGCGTAAACTGCCCTAAAAGTCTCTATCAGGAAAAAAACTTTATTATTAGCGCAGCAAGTTTGTCATAGAGCCATTGCAAATGGTTAATTTCTGTGCTTAGAATGTTCATTTGTCGGTCCCAATTAACGTGTTACTTTCGATATAAAATAAAGCTACTTCGATTTATCTGCCTGCAAGGCTGGTAAAAACCACTGTAAGTTTGATCAAACTTATTGTGCTTTTGTACGCAACGCGAGTGAAGTCCATTTGCTGTGAAGAAATCAAATACTCTAAAGGCACCTGATAAAGGACATTTCTACTCTTATTCCTGAGTGTCACCCTTCCATCTATTGGTCTTTATAATGTACTGATATGAATCCGTGTGGTAGTGAAATTTCCTTAGAAGCCTAATTTGATTTGCAACGTAAGAATTTCAGCTCCCATTTAGGTAGGCCGAGTCTTGACGAGTGAGCAAAAGTCCCATTTTAAAAGACAAGGATAGGATGAGAAACCTCTTTTCGGTAAGTTTTCTACAGACTAGACAGTTGAAAAGGCTAAGACAATGTGATACAATGAAATCAGATAAAAAGCTGAACGATAGACGACTTGAACCTCCATCAAGAAACGCTTAATATGCGTCACCAATAGGATGGATTTAGGTTGCTTGTGCAGACTGTGCTGTGGTTGTGTCCAATGAAGAATGCGTGTGTAAGAAAAGCTGAGCTGAGCTATGAGCAGAAAAACAACTGAGCAAAGAGTTTTGTCAGTGAATAGTTGGGTTCCGATGTCGGATCTCAGTAGTCTCAGTCACTGCAATAGCACATGCCATACATAGCTGTGATAATCCACCGGGGCTTTTGTAAACGTTTTTTGTAACATTGGCTAGGCACCAGGCTGTGCTCCATGCCTACAAGCGGCTACAGAGACCATCAAGAGTGGCTTGCGTCTGATTCCTACCTAGCGCTAACGATAGGCATTGTACCGGATGTACCGATAACAGCAATCGGTTAAAAAAATTTGGGATGTCCTCGGTTTGTTGAACCTTTTGGATATAATTATTAAAACTATTCTGTTGTGTCTCCGTAACAAGTCGATTGCTTTGGTAAGGAAGCCAAATCTTGACGATTATAGATAGAATTTCCACAAGGTCTGATTCCGAGGATAAAATGGACAGGTAGCCTGCTTGAACTCGTAATTGATGTCCACCACGTAGAGCAAATTACGTTAAATATTGTTATCTTTATATCTGTAACTGTGAAGACTTTGAGAAAATCATGTTTGTCAGCGCACCTTAGTTGTAAAACCTTAATATCACAATTGAAGCATTGTTTATGACTGGTATGTGAACGTTATTCAAATGTGTGGTTTAATGTCATTATAGTAATCCAAAGTTAGAGTTGTGTAGCCTATTTCATTCTGATGATATTATATATTTGTTCCCACTAGCTCTTGAAAACCCTGCTGAGCTTTAAACAGCAGGTATATACAGACCGTGATTTGCACTTGTACACATTTACACATGCCGGTGCGTAAACGTTTCTGCAACAAAGCCATAATGCTTGATATAGGTGTTGTTTAAAACATGAAAGGATAAATTATTCGTCGAATGCAACAGTCAAACAGGCACTCTAATTTCAAGCCTAAATTTGATTATGCTGATGGTGTCTGCTATCGTATGTATGCATTTGTATGTATGTAGTAGTCGTAGTTGATACGTATTGCGTTATACACGAAAATATTTTCCCCATTGTAATACTTCAAATTTCGGCCGAAATCCAAAATGCCACGGACCATAACTCATAATTATAAATCACAAATTGTTAGTCAACAAACTGCATGCGCCTCTATCGTAGCTGCAACGTGCTTATCAATTAGAAAGAACAGCTATTCTATCTTTCTGACTCAAATGCTTCCATAGCAGTGTAGTTTTAATTTAAAGCTTTACGAGAGCCATAACAACAATAAGCAAATTAATAGGGAGAATTTCAAAAGTGGTTCCATCGACTATTTAAGCAATAACAGTTTCAATTCTAACCCAGAATAATTATCACCAGCATACGACGACCAACCCTTGTGCAGATATAATCGTAAAAGAAGGACACTAACAATAGAAGGGCTCGGCACTAAAACAAATATTACAGCAGAATAATTTGGAGAGGGAATCTGAGGTTTAATTCTACAACTGAAAATTGGTATAAGTCTATCAGAAAACATAACTGGAAACATAAATATGAAGACTCACTATATAAAGCCAACTTTGCACGTCAAAATGTGATCAAAAGTGAAGTCTCACAAACATTGGTTTACTAATGTCTTGCGGATCATTTTCTAGATGTCACTGCAACTAAGCACCTTGCCAAATTTTGTGACATACTTCATTCCATTCACCCAAACACGTGACTTATCAGAATGAGGGTTGATCTTTCTAAATATTCTCGTCAGCATGCGCCCTGGTAGGACAATAAAACGTTCAGATTTTTGCACATTGGTATCCTAAATATTGTGGCCCTTTGCCGACATCTTGTGAGCGTTTCTTTAGCTTAGATCTTGTTCAGAAGCACAAAAAACAAGGCACAATTGTAAAAACGATATTTTTCGGACGATGGGCGTACCAGTGGAAATCGGGAACTTTTTGTAAAAATCCATACAGCCATCAGGCCTTAAAAGCCATAACCTATGAAGACAAACTAAAACCAACCTGCCTCTTGCCTCTGTTCATTAGTTAATATTCTGAAGAAGGATATCACTCATATCGAGAGACGGTGTCTCGGCATGCATAGCACGTGACCGAGCCACTGCATTTGAAGGCGCTGGATGTTTTGCACGACTGAATTACCTACCACAAAACGAATTACCGGTTTTCTAATTTCCCCGTTGTAAATTCGTTTACTTCATTCAATACCACGGAGTCTTCTAAAGGCACTGGTGATAAAACTTCTGAATATAGCTCACAACCATACAGCAGTATAGCTTTTACTGAAGCGCTTTGCGCTGGACATTTGAGACCCAGTCAAGCAAATTAACAAACGTGATTGGGGGCTTGAGACGCACTTCCGCCAGAGCTAATACAACTGCGGATACTTTAAAATCCTCCAAAAACACCTGTGTCTATCCCCAAAATGTAAGGGGCACGTTAAGAGACTACACGTTTTGAAGTCTGACTTTGCAGTTTGGACGTGCAAGGCGCATTGCGGAAGATGGTATGAAGGTGGTCGATCCATTCAAAAAAACTTATGCTTTGTTTTCGTCCTCACAGGTGAGAAAGATATCTTCTGCATACTCAATATCGACATGATTCTCATTAGCAAAGATTAAAAACCCAGGTCTTGAAGATTGCCACCGTTCGTCTTGTTATTTCAATGTTGATGCAGTTGGACAACAAAGGGGAGGGTGAATATCTTCGGCGGGCACCTTTTTTTGTAGCCTTTAAAGAACTCACCACACACTCACTCGCCGGGGAGTACGTAATTATGCGGACCGGATTGCGCGTACAAGCGTCTTGGGCATACTATATTGAAGAAGTTTAGTTAACAGTACTAATCGATCGACAGAACTGAAAGCACCATTGAAGTCAAGGAGCACCAAAAATGCAGACCTCTGTACGTATGGCATTGCCCTAACACCTGACGGAGTATAACGGCGTGGTCCAGACAGAAACTGTTAAAGGTTAATTTTTCAGTGGCAACCATTTTTATGCAACGATTCATATCACCTGTTGTGCACAAAAAGTTTATTCTTACTCTTCTGCTTTCTTCCTGTTGCTCTCAATTTCTGCAGCTCAGTTGACACACAGGTGATGAAATTTAATAAAATAGTACAAAATTGTATTCAGAATGGACAGGCTTACACTTTTGTTGCCAGTGACTGTACTTGTCCCCTTAAAATTTGCTTTAGAAGTGTCTTTTATTCCAAGCCAGCAAACAACAATATTTTTCTGTCTCCTGTTTCTTAGTGGTGAATCCGGATCCGGAAAAACGGAAGCATTCAAAAGAATCACGCGTTATCTGGCAGCTGCAAGCGAATCTCGGGGAACTGCACTCAGTTCCATAGCCAAGCGCGTTTTAGAGAGCACACCTTTGCTAGAAAGCTTTGGCAATGCAACTACCTTACGAAATGACAATTCGTCACGCTTCGGCAAATATGTGGAGATATTTTTCGCAGAGTAAGTGCCTTGCTCTTTGATTGTGCTGAGCCTTCAAAGGGAAATGGCTTAACGGTTACATATATATATATGTATATATAAACATTACTCTAAAACACAGCACGCAATTCTGGTACATCTTAAGCGTCAACCACTTTACGAAAGCACTCGTAGGAGGCTTCGCCGATGTAACCGTTGCTGTGCCTTTGAAATACTGACTCGAGTACATTTTTTGTAATGCCCTGATGCGTCAGTTGTCCCGTTACTAACATTTTTGTAACCAGGACTGCGTTTAAGTTATATGTATCCGCGTAGTTCTGACCAAATCTGCGTAACTGTAGTTTGTCGATGGCATGCGTCTGAAAAGTTTTGCCCGAATATTTATGTCTTATCCTAAACAGTTAGGAACGTTTAGACGCTTATTGAATCTATAATTTACAGAGTTGAAATCCTGCTACAGATGTACCGTATCATCTGCCAGTCCGTGAAGTACCATGGGGTTTTTTCACGTGCCTGATGGTCATAGTTTAGTTTCATCTTCGATAAAATGACAAATTTTCCACTAAAACATCTCAACCCATATCACACGTCATTCCACCCAGATGACACATGATCTCAAAGTTAGGTAGAAACTTTTGGGCTATCAAATTCGAGATTTTATATTAATAAGTCGCCTAGCGAACCACCGTGAAACCAATACTTGTTACACATTGTGTACAAAGAGACGGTATTGCCAAAGTTTCATTAAGAGGCAATCACAGATTAGCCTTCCTCTAGTGCGTTATCCCAGATGGGCGTTTTCATTAACCGGCTACATTTGTTTTTGTCCGGATTTCAGAGCCACAAGTGACACTCATTCAGTCAAAGTAACATTGATACAGAAATTCTGATGCAGTGTGTGCTTTTCATTCTTCGCAGGAAGTTTGTGACAATAAGTATTCATCAAAAAGAAATTCACCCCAGAATCTGGATTATGAAGTCTTCTTAACAGCAAAGATGTGAAGAATGCCTTGGGAGCCTGTTAAGGCGTATTGGAGTGCATGTGGTATTGTGAATAGTACCCAATAGTCTATAGTCCCAGAAGGTGGGAAGCTTATAGCGCAATATGTCAACAGTATGTTTGCCTTTTTATTTATGGACGTAAAATATGTAATTCCTATGCGATCGAACGATCTGACTGCACCCTTAACGCAGCCGCTTTTGTGATTCAATGTAGCTTCGTTGGATAACAACCGTCAGATTATTAGCAGCGTGTAGACCGAAAATTAGAAGTCCGCATCAACTACCTTTAGAGTAGACAAGAAGGCTCTTTTGAGAAACAGTGAAGGGCAACATGAGGCCTTATGGCTAATTTGCATTGAAGGAGGCTTGTTAAATGCTTATGAATAACTAATGTAGTTTCGCGATTTAACAAATTTAACACAGCCAACAATCGGCTATCCGATAATATGCAGCTGTTTTGCTTACGCAACGCATTCGAAAGTTTCAGCATGTGAGTGCTTGTGAGTAAGCCTGCGCGACACGATCCTGTCCGTTGCTAGCGAACAGTGCTGCCGTTGAAGCGTCCCGCAGCCATTTCTGACCTGCTGAGTAAACCGAACTGCAGAACTTACATGTCCACCTTTGTAAGGATGCATTGCTCCGTTGGACTTGAAACTAGTCATTGCCAGTCAACCATTTTTGTAGCACTCTTGGAGCAGACTTTCGTTAAACAAGAAGGAGCCACGATCCACTGTAAAAAATAGATACAGACCGTTTTGGCCTCCTTGACACGTACGCGAACACCTTTCCAGGCAGATCAACTATTTTTAAATGCATTTCAGTATCCCACATTTAAAAGAAAGGTTTTGGCACCAAAAATGTACTTTTTAACCTTTGAAATACTCCAGTAAACGTTAGCCTAGCTGCCCTCATCTACTAACCCACCAAATCTACATGTTGTGTTAACCAGTATATTTATAAAAGGAAAAACGGATCTAGCCTGGGGATAAAATGTTTTTAAAAGGTTGAAATGCTATCGCCTACCCATATTGCCTGGGTGAATCGCTGCGAAGAAGTAGCTCATTTGCTGTTTCTCATACTTTGTGTCGAATTGGAGAGTTGTAGAAGCATGCTTATGCAGCTGGCTGTCTTGGTGGGGTAGATAACTAGGAATCAGTTTTGAAAAATCAAGAAGGTCATTATTATCAGCTCTAGTACAATAGTGAACATACAGTTAGGCGTACGTCACCCGGTAGGCAGGACGGAAATAGTGGTATAGTGCGTACGGCAAATAAACGAGTACACAAGCTGTTGTTAATGAGAGCACGGAGCTTAAAGGCGCATGAACACTTCATCTCGCACTGTTCGCGGTACTCTTTTGTGGTAATCATTCACCGAATGACCAGTTTGGTCAACCGTCTTAGTATGCTCACAATCAGGATTTCGTGAGCGCACACGATTCACCAATTGCAACTGGTTCTTTATGGACAGAAGGGGCTTTATAACAATTTCTATGAGCAGGAGAGGAGGAGAAACGACATGACTGGAAGTGTCATTATCAAAGAAGCCATCCGCGCTTACACAAAAGTCACACGCTAACGCTATGTCATGTTGTACAGCAACTAGAGGATCTTCCGCCTGAGATCAATCGCGTCAATCACGAAGCACATGACTTTTTATGATGTTCCGAAACCCGTACGTAATAACTTTGATTAATAAAATTCTGACAGTATGTTATATGTTAACTGCATTTTGACATCCTAGACAGTAACAGTCAGAAAATAAGTCATACGGAACGTCTAGCTTTTGAAAACCTTGACAGAGCGACAACTGTTTTGTGGTTGGTGTAATAATTCTGTTTATGCAACGTGCAAATATTCGATGATGCCAAAGCAGATAGGGAATAAGTGAGCTCGTGATAGTTTGTCGTTTGTTCGGGAACTCAACTTGGTTACTTTGCAATGGATTTATTTGACGTGGTATTCTGGCTGCTGGATTTGTTTAGCCAACTAACCTAAAGGCTAATAAGGTTGCTTGATTTAATAGGTTATGTTGGTAGATCGTCACGTAACTGATAGAACTATAGACGTTGTAAGTACAAAACAACAAATAATGAAATATAATTTGAGATGAAAATGTTGATGGCTCAGGTAGCTTAAATGGTCGTTGGTTTGTTCGATAACAGGGCTATTTGATTGCAAATGCTTCATCAACAATCGAGGTGCCAACATCATTGCGTTGTTAGGAAGTGTAGTGGTGTGTAGCGATGTGTTGGTGGTTGAGATGTCTTTAAGATGTATTTCGTAAACATTCGACACCAGCTACAAAACCATGCACACAGCTACGCACACCCCTTGACTTGGCAGAGCAGAGCGAAAGTTCAGTAACCAAGCATCCTGGCATAGTATTCTTGGTAAGTTATTGTACTGCTGTGCTTTTAGAGTTTATTTCTCCCATGGCTTTAGTGTCGCGGAAATATTCAAGAAATATTTACGTTGTGAGAGCACTTAAAAGGCTCGACATGCCCTAACTAGATAAACTCCGTGCAAACACAGCTCGGGAGTGGAGCTTTGATTCCGATATTCTCTCTGGTGTTATTAGTGAAACTAGCTCACTAGTTGTTTTCCGTAGCACCGTAACTACTCTAAATGACCAGAATCAATGGCCCCTTTGGGAAACGATGTAGCATGTTCGGACCCTTGTTTCACGAGTCAGACTTTTTTGAGTAGAAGTTTTCTAAAATCCTAGCTTCTGCTTCTTCATCGATATCTAATGGTGAAAACTTGTTTTGCTTTTTTCCGTCCAGCTCAATTATCATTGGAGCAAAAACTACCAATTTTCTTCTAGAAACCTGTCGCGTTGTCCGTCAGGTATGTTTACTCATTTGTAAGCAATGGCGGTTCCCAGAATGAAGTGTCATACATTAGACAGCACTAAGGATAAAGCCCCGAATATGACGTTTACTCTTAGCTGCAGTACGTGTTGTCTGCTACTAAGGGCTCACAACACGGCAGAGCGTGTCACACAAAAAGACGAGGATACCTAGAACTGGTCATTGATACAGAATGTGGAACATATCATTAGACTTCATTCAAGGGTGTTTTCCGCTTTATAAGAAGCAATAATTTACCACCGAAACATACTCAAATTCGGTGTTTTAAAAAGCTTTTGACCACCTTTGGTGGTTACACCATTTTTCTCTAATGAAACCTTCCGCCTTTCTTTATGAAAACCTAAAAACGGTACAGAAGAGTGCTATGTATGAATCTAAGGACAAGCAGTCGGATGTGATCTGAGCGCGTGTGTTGTACAAAACGTAAAGTTATAAGTTGTTCTTGTTCACCGATTTTCAAGAACCAATTTTCACAGTTTTTTGTGAGGCCAAGATTTCCGCCATCACTGGTCCTTTGCGGCGATCCGAAACGTCAGAGGATATACACGAGTATACAGAACGATTTACGGACCGAAAGTAAGGCGCACATAGGACACTGTTCCATATAACCAGTTTCCACGGAGTCACATTTCATTTCGAGGCCCTCATTTATTCTCCCTGAGAAATTGGACGTAAGTTGCCCGGAAATTTAAATGAAACCAATTTGGCCGTTCAGAGGAAACAATTTATGCCGTAGTGCACCGTGGAAGGTTACAATTGTTTCTTCATTTATATACTGATTTTATGTAGTCGGCTTTGTAATTCATTATAAGGACCAAGAGATACCTCTTTAGCCATAATTTTTTTATTTGAATCGTTCCCAGACATCAGTGTGCTTGATAAGAATCCCGAAGCCACTAGCCTAATCGGAGTAGGATCAGGTGTGGTGCATAGTAGTTGATACTCTACAACGCCGCAGTAACTGAATCACAAGTTCATTTGTTTGAGAAACTAATGAATGCTAAAACCCGATAATATGAGAATAGTAAAATTTTCTGGATTCTCACTCCTGACTTTCATCCTTTCTTGCAGGGTCCAAAAGAAAGAAACTACCATGTTTTCTACGAGATCCTTTCTTCCTTGGATGACAAGACCAAACAAGTTCATCACCTGGGAAATGTGGAAGATTATTACTATCTTGTAAGGGCGACTAATTATCAACATTTACCATCATATTTATCAAACCTTAGCCACTGTGGAGCTCGTACATTGTTGTGCTTCTCAATAGCCAGGAAGACACGTAGTTTCTGATAAACGTTCCCCTTCACGATCAAACCACCCTGCATAGTTATTGATGAGGATATTAAAACAAATGAAAAATAAATGAAAATTTCAAGCCCAGGCAAACCATTCTCAAATCTTGAAGCGTAAAAATTCTTCGACAAGAAGCATCCCGGCGCAAGATAGTCACAGCCTTTGGAGTGGCAAACAGGACAATTTTGTGACGCTTCTGTCATAACAAGGCCATTATTTCTTCTCATCAGTAAATCCCGACACTGGCGAAAAATGTCGAACTTCATGCTTTCTTTCTTGCTGGCATCCCGATGTTGATTAGCCTGCTATTCCGAGTTGCATGCAAGTAAGCGCAAGCGGACTGAAAGACAGCCACAACCAGTTGTTATGCTTTGCTTTTACTGATAGATGGTAAGTATGCCATAAACAACCGAACGATCGATTTTTATCACTTTAGATCCGAACACGCAATCAAATATCTTGCTGTGGTACTCTGCTCCGGTCGCGTGAAAAAGCCAAGGGAAACTGCCAACGCTATATGTTTCTTAAACGAGCACGAATACCACTTAACCGTGGACTATATGGACAGCAGGGTTTTCGGTTTTCATCTGCCGCAAAACACCCCGAGGGTTTTCACCTTTTATGCCGGGTATGCTGGTGTTTTGTGGGTCCTTAAACGAAGTTAGTTCAATGGAGAATGTTATCCACTGTGGCGTGTAAGGTTAGAAACAAAAGAATACTGCAAAGCTTCATAAGCATTTCGACCTTTTTTGACCTGCTGTTCCGGAGTCCATATCTTTACTCTTAGCTGCTATATGATTTTCCCCATCTAATTTTCGAATATTTCTCATAAGTTATGGGTTTAACTTTATTTGGAAACATACGTGACCTCGGATGCGTTTGCTTACACCTAGTTTGGCCGCAAGATTATTCAAAAAAACGCATAGTCCTAAAGACTCTGATAACTGAACTTAGAATAACCTAAATTTGTTGTTAACTGGACCTGGAATGACAGAGATGAAATAAAATCGGTGTGATTAACGTTTTACCTCTGCTTTTAGACTGATATTCCGACAGAAAAACATGAGTTGTATGAAGCCACAAAGCAATATAATGTCAACTCAGCTGATGACTTATGCAATAAAGTGGATCGCATTGTCTATAGAACCATTTTCAACAATTTCAAAGCGGGAAGTAATGACCGTGTTGCGAAGTGCTTCAAGACACTGGAAAGATTTTGTGTCAAACTGCTAAAACGGTGCGTTGTTAGCAAGAACCATGAACTTGGGCACATGCTCCAATACTTGATTTTCTACGTCATTTTCTTGAGCTACAATTCTGACCACTTATTGCTCACTATATCAAACACTGTCAAGTAAATTTTTCCCACACTGAATTGTCCGGCTAGCAAGTGATAATATTGTCTTAGTTTGTATCAATGTGGAATTGAAGTTCCCTAAAAGCCAGTATTCATGTGCCACCATCCATTTATCATTTTAGTGAGACAAAACACTACACCTAAATGTACCAAAAAGCCATAGACTCCATTAAGGTAAATGGATTAAGAATGCAATCTGCTTTGTTATTGTGAGCTGCAGATAGCAGTTTCTTCATGAGCAGTGAACGAGCCAACAGACATATGACAACCTAACGGCTATATGTGTAAAAATACCTCTACATCTATGAGGATTTCAGATTCCGGGCACTAAAGCCGTACACATTAGTTCTAAGCGTTGTTCAAACAACAACAAGCCTATGCGCTGAGAAAAAACAGTCCCTTTATTTGAAGCATATGTAAGTTATTTTATTAAGAAAACAAATTTAGCAGTTGCGCACTTAGTTCCCTTGAACTGACACTCTTTGTTTGATACAACCTACCCATTCGGAGGAATTCAGACTTTCAAGAAACTGCTCTAATAACCTAAGTCAATCAGAGTAATCGGGTCAGAGCTTTCCAATTTGTGACCTCTGTTCATGATCAAATACATGAGCAGCCTTGAATCGCATCCTCAGTTGGTACACTGTCAACTCAGGCTGCCATGCAGGTTGTTTGCAAACTGCTGACAACTTCCACTCATTCCAGTAAAACGCAGTACCAGTATGAGTGACACACTACAGTCCTCTCCATCCAGCTTGACATTTGACTGTCTGATTCATGCGAAAGATGCCTTGTGTTCACAACGGATGTCTCGCTGTCTGATGAAACATGTATATCAAAAGATGCGGGTTAATGAGTGCAAGTTTACAGTAATTTATTTTCTGATCCTTTACAAATTTACGGAGTCTGAAAAGTTGACGCGACTTTATGGTCCGTAATTACCCTTCTGTTTGTTCATTTTCCAAAATTCATTCAGCTGAGGACACTTAACCAGCTGCTTTGTAATAAAATCTTATGCTAATTTGCCCAGCTGAATTTTGCGCATCCCAATATTATGAACTTTTTACTTCTTTGGACTGAAGACAAGTTATTGGAACGATATTTCCACCACCCTAAATATCTTTGTTGACTGGGTGCGATATTTAGGAAGATAGGTTTCGAATTCAACTGTTTACGCTGTAGGGAAGGATCTAATTGTGAGCTGTTTTGAAATGGGTATCAGAATTGTCTGGGAGATAGACAGCCTCTTCGAAAAGAGGTAGGCCTTGCAAATCAGACTAAATAGCTTTGTTCGTAAGTTTGCTACATAAAAGTGAGACGGTGGCTTTGACACCTTCATTAGGTACATTTTTGACCAGGCATTTGCCTATGTACATGTGCGTATGTATATCCCATACATACGATCACTCAACGATAAAGCGGTTTATTGGTTTAAAATAATGGTATCCGAACGAAATTTCTCTCATAAATTGTATGAGAAGGAATGCATAAAAGCCCTACTGAAAGCAGCGTCACCGACAACCTGCCTTTGTCTCTGTCAAGTGTAAATCATTTTTGTGGAATCTTGATCTCTCCAATGTAGAGCTCAAATGACGAGCATCAGACGTCTGAAGTAAGACACATGTTTTACACATATTGGGTGTTTTCTGGTGGAGTGACGTTGAATTCTGAATGTGAACCGAGCTGGGTGCCTCTTCTCGCCCTAACGATCGTTAAACTAAACTGACACAGTTTCCACCCTGCTGTCATCCGGGTCCCGTTTTCTCGACTCTTCTGGGCTTGCTGTCGAAAGTTGTGCGTGTGTATGTGTGCATTCCTTACGTATGCGTACCACAGAGTCATCTGTTTTGGTTTACGAGTTCTGTCATGTTCACACTAACCTTGATTAGCTGTACGGTGAATCGATAATAAATTTGGTTAGGATTATCGGCCACCTGATTCAGGTGACAGTGATGCTCCTTTGGTGGTGTGGCACGAGAAACATGCAAATGATTTACCTAACAATGCAGCTAATCTGGATAGAAATTCGCTCCTCGTTCACACTATCCTTGTGCATGTACGTGACGTTCAAGTTTATGCAACCCGCAGCATCCAAATCACCATGAATATGTAGTTACGTGAGAATATGGCTGACGTAGATCTGTTCCACGCCAACGTCACTCGGAATGCTTATATATTTCAACCAACTCAACTCCGTTAACCCGAATACATGAGTCACATGGTTGTAGGAGTGGATCACCTCCAAAGCTGATTGCACTCTCTATGCAATCTCGTGTGCACTTTGACAGTACTAACCAACGGGTGATTCTCTGTTGGACGGGCGTGTATAAAATATCGGCATATGTTTATCAAACTTTTCACCAACTCCAGGGCTTAAAACTCGATATGAATAGGTGATATCTTGCAAGATTTGATCATTTTCAATCTGAGCAGTTCGAGTTTTATATTTTCCCTGCACATATAGAGTGTGGATGGCCTCATAAAACGAATATCCTGAAGCTGATCGCCAATAGCTTGAAAAAACCTAAAATTATGGAAATAGCCTACAGGAAATTTAGAAACCGATTCATTAACCAGTCCCAGAAATTAGTACCTTTCAAAACAGCAACTGCTTCCGTCAAATGTTTCGGACCACTTGGATCTTCTCATCGGCAGAGCCACGACATATATCTGGATATCATGATTCGTTTGGTACAGATGCTAAGAAATTCAATAAACACAGCTTTTACTCGCCACAACGGATGTGACTACATTCAAAACTGCTGTCCGACCAAAAGCGTTACAGCACAGCGTGGCCAGGAAAGGCATATCAAATATCGTCCTCTCTATAGTTCTGAAAAAAAACTCCTAAACGAATTATCAGGATAGAACCGTCGTTTCTTTAGAAGGCATCAAGGGTGATCAAACTTGGGTAGCGATAGTGACAATCCGCAGTCCTACTCATTAAACCGACCCATTCAGAACTCGAAGGACACTCCGACGACCACAATCTGAAAGAGCACATTATGTGACTTTACATGCTAGAAACGTGCCTCGGGCAAGGGTGCAGAGTAAGCTCTGGCCATATATTTTTCCAACCAGCTGATTTTAGGTTGCTAGCCATGGTTAAATGGCTCACAATGTATCCTTGACGGACAAGCCCTTTGCGGCGGCACACTGCGGGCAGTACGGTTTGTCTACACTGAAATCTGTGGTCAACTTTACCACAATATAATATATTTTGTAAGATTTGAATGCATGATAACACCACTCACCTCCTCTTTCACGGAGGTTGCAGTGTGAACATCTGGAAAAGTATGCAATCAGCTGCATAAAAGGAAGTGTCTTTTTCCGCTGAAGATTCTCACAATTACTCTATAAATTGTACGCCAGAGTCGAAGCACAAAACTAAGCTGTTCTGGATGAGCAAAAGACAACTCGGAAACTAGATGACTTCCCGCAGATTGGCTCGACTGACAAGCCCGTATTGTAAGACTGAAAGCTCAACAGGCACTAAGAAGTAAAGCACCAAGAATGGGTCAGTAAACCACTACATATTTTCACTTCGGATAACACTCCAGTTTTCCCCGTTCGGCGTCGCAGTCCTAGTTTCTTAGTAAACTTACCAGAGTGCGATCAGTGGCAGTCATAAGGTGAATGGTCTAGTTAAACTCACATTCAATGTCACAGTCATGAATTTGATATCAACATTTCACATTAATCGGGTGCTTGGAATTGGTTGGAATCATATGTAATTATTTTGGAAAATAATCTTCCATTTGATCTGTTTCAAATTTTACTTAGGGAACCAAAGCGACCTACACGTCACATTCAGATCTTGATGGACTTTCAATACTGCTCGACGCTTGGCACACGCTTGGATTGCCCAGAGAAGAAATAAACCTGTGTCTTCGAGTTATTTCAGCCATATTGCACCTTGGAAATTTGAAATTCAAAGAAAGTTACGATGGAGTAAGTGAACTGGTTGTTGTTCTCGCACGGAGAAATGAATCTAAAATTTGGCTAGTTCACTTATCGAATAATGGTCCCGAACACAATGACGTAAATATGAGAAATTATGGATTGTGTTACACTTAACATTGTGCAATTTATGTGATGAAGATACTACAAATGAGAGAATGCGTGATCGATACTTTGAAAACGTTCCCGTTCGTTAAATTTCGCGATGTACCATTATAGAGCGCTTTTTCAAAAGGATGAAAATTAAGTTCAGTATGATACACCATCATCTTGGCCTGCTGTTTTCTCTGCATAAGTTCTGTAGGAAGGTACTCACTGATGGAACACTACTAATGAGTTTACCAAAATTTCGCCAACTTAATGAGTAGTGCTTCTTCAAGAAACTATACTGCGATATCTCGAATATCGTGCGAACTAATACATCAGACGGCTTTTGTGCAGTACATTCATTCTCGGAACATCGTAGATGAGAGAGATAGCTTGGGTTCATTTAAGTCTCGTTAAAACTAAATCGTTTCGCAAATGCGTGCACCTCCTGAAATATCCATCTTTTTACAAGGGAATATGGAAGAATGATTTTAGGGTCTAAATGTTTACCTCGAATAGCAGCAGAAATTCATGGCGGTCGATCAGCAACTGCTTATCTCCAATAAATAACACCAAGTAGAAGGGCAATCAAGCGTAATCGGGACTTGGGCGAATTGAACCAAGTTATACTCCTCTAAATTAAATGAATATTATTTTTGACTGGAGCAAGTTCAAGATTTTGCTACGACATGAAGAGGTTCTCAACGATGCATCCTCTGGAGGGACTTTGTCTCTTTTCAAGGTGTCTAGTACGATTTATTTGGTAAAAGCCAGATGGCGCGATTGGGCACCAACAGAAACAGAAACAACAGGACCAACGCTCATACAGTGAAGTAATCGCGCAAATAAATAAAACTTTCCGGAATCTGTTCATGTTCCTCAAAATGTTCCTCAGGTCACACAGAATTTGCTGGAAAAATAGAATGGGCGCTTATTGAGACACTCAAAGAAAAGGCACAAGTAAATATGATGTTTGAATAGGACAGTTCTGCAAGTCAGATTTATTGCCGCGATTGCGTAGTACAAAACTAATGGCCATATTAAATATGCTTAGTTTCAGTACACCACAACTATTTTTCGTATTGTTGCTAAGGACGAGTTTTGTGCTATCGAATATCAACATTTTAGGGATTAAAGACGTTGGAGCGTTCCACTCGGACGTCTTAAAGTAAATTTTGACACTTAGCTCTGGTGTAGGTGGTTATGGGTCTTCAGAATTCGAGTTCACATCGTCCTGGTGTAAACAGTTCTCATCATTTCCTGGCACATTTGTTCTTTTGAGCCCGCACCAAATGGGCGAAACCGCTGAACTCGAGTTTCATTCTAAGTAATGCTATCAGCAGTGCATATCCCTGGCTTTGGCGGAACTGGAACTCCGTTCAGGTGATATACGAAACGGGCGCCTTACCACTTCTCCACCGCTGACGCTGGATGCGTTTGAGTGATCATGTCTGAACTGACAATTGCGTGAGCGATGTGATAGGCTTGCATGTCCTGGTTGCGTCGATCGACTGACCCCTATGTCATGACACTCCAGGCAGATAGCGACACGGACGTTCGAAACTCACTGGATAATTTTGATTAGTTGTAGGTGGTTGTTGAATCCGTAGAATTCGCTTTCACATCACTCTGTCTTGAAATGCCTTCATTCACTCTTTTTCAAACCAGAGTGGTTTGAACGCGAGAACTTAGATTTACCTGAATCAGGAGCAAGTAGCTGTCATTCGGTAAAGCAGGCAACGTGGCATGACTGAGTGCGTTCACTTATGAATTATGACTATTGTCGTTATTGATAATGAAAATGAAGTTTCAGTCCTGCCTAAACATGCGTTCGTTTTAAACCAAATCTCAAAGATATCAGTATATCGAAGTAGGGAACTGGTAGAGTATTTTCATATGGCGACTTCCTTTTGAACGCATTATTATGCCAGTGTTTTCATCAGCCGGCAGAACATTAATCTGTTCTGTTAAGCGGTTTGTCTCTGCATTTGTTCACCGGAGCCTTTCTACCGAGGATTTACGAAATTCGTGTCTACTTTGTAACACCTGATAAGGTTTGATTCTTATTGCGACTATCGTTTGTGACTGGTACCAAACGCATAAATTTATAACGTATAATGCGTAACGTATGCTGACTATTCACGCCCTCAGAAACTTTTTTGTGGTTATTCTAATAAATTAGGCAACTTAGGATAAAAGTTTAATTGATAACAACTCTACCGTCCTGAAAAATGGGATGCGTGTACAAAAGATAGAGTAAACAGTGAACCACAGAAACGTTGATGTGTTCACAAGCAGACCCTCGCAACTAGCAGTACTAGAAGTCCGGTAGCAAATTAAAGTTCAGTTACAGACTCCGGTAGGCTGCGTCGAAGGGAACCTTGACTAAGTGAGAGGTGCGTCTTCAGTATCTTCACTGCCAGTCAGTTCAATAGCTGTACAACCGAATTGCTTGTGTGCTGGTTCTCGAGTGAGTTGAAACTCAGCATCTGGTATAATGGAGTGAGGAATACAAGATTATACAATTTCTGCATCATATACGCTGCATACTAGCGTGTGTGAATTTTGATCAGTTTGACATTTACAACAAGTGCATTTGGCTGAGGTACATAACTAATTTTAACTCATAATTTTGACTTAAAAGTATGAGTTTGTCAGCTTATTCTAAATGCCAGTTTTATAATTCATACCCCTTATTCTGAGTTCGAACCGAGGACACAATAGTATGGTATGGCGATGAAGTATCCGGACGACCGAAGTTTGATTAGCACGAGACACTCAACATTTCAAACTACCCGGTTCAGAAGTGGAAAAGCCTTTCTCACCTTAATAGGCAAGATTTCTGTTGA